GAAGAAGAAGAAGAAGAAGAAGAAGAAGAAGAAGAAGAAGAAGAAGAAGAAGAAGAAGAACACACACACACAAACCTCACACAAGTAGAACCACAAGTACATTTCCTCGGCCTGATAAAGGGCACTGATGAAAACCCCAGCTAACATCGTAGTTAGCGGTGAAATACGCAACGCTTTCTTAAGATCAGCGAGAAGCCAGGTGTGCTGGCACACACCAGGGAGGCTGAGGCAGAAGTATTGCAAACTAGAGCCCAGCATGGACAATGTAGCAACTCGTTGGGGCCTTATCACAAAATAAAAAATAAATTAAAAGGGCTGAGAATGTAGCCCAGGATAAAGGCCTTTGATGCAGTTTCCAGAATTAAATGAAAAAAAAAAAAAAAATCAAGCGAGTGCCAAGACTTCTCTTACTTCACTGTAACAACAGTTTTTTTTTTTTGTGGGAAGAGTCTGACCAATGCATTACTGAAGAGCAGAAGAAATGGAAGGTAAAAGAGAAAAGATAAGAAAGAAGGAATAAAGGAATGAAGAGCGGGATTGCAGGAAAGAAGAATTAGAAACTATACGAAATAGAAAAGAAGCAAAACTACCATTCATTGAAAATTGAAAACGTGATCGCCTTTAACAAGAAAAGTACTAAACCTAATAGGTGACAGTTTGGAAAGGTTACAGGATATAAGATTAATGTACAAAAATCATATTTATTTCTGAATGCTAGAATACAACAAATGAAAGTTCAAATTTTAAAAAAAAAACAGCATTTCAATGGTCTAAACCACTTACTAGGTAAAGGGTCTACATGACAGAAACAAATATAATAGAGTTCCCCCCTTGAGAAACTTTCCAAGTTGAGAAACAAACATAAAAGCAGATCATTCTGGTAAGGAGAGGAGTAAGGTAAGTGGGGACCGTCAGCCAACTGTACAAACAGCTCTCTCCTATCAGGAAACCTATTCTTCCACTGCCTGAGCCTTCTTATCCACTAAGTAACCTAATAACTCCACAGACTGGATCAGCACCTCCAAGGCTCCTAATGCTATGAGAATAGCTCTTTGTCTGATGCCTGTAGAAGGAGGCTAAGTGGCTTATGTCCACATTTGACGAGCAGTGCTCTTGGCCAAGGAGTTTCCATTCTAGAAGATTCCAACTCCCCGTTCTTCTTTGCTTTGCCGTGCATTGACTGGTCCTGAGCACTCACAGGAACGCTGTGGGCTTTGGTAGCAGACCCACCACTAATTCGATACAGCTGACCCAGATTGCTTTTGCAAGGCTGTCAACTGAGGCAGATTAATTAAAATCAGAGCATGATTAAGATTTTAAGTAAAATATTTCAGATTCCTTAGAAAAACTAAACCAAATCTTTAAATACTCACCACTGATAAAAAAAAAAATATTCTCAATTGCTCATTGTCCACTTTCTCCTCAATAAATAAGTTTTGGGTTCTTGTGCCCCATCACAATGTTACTGTCATGATTTGGAGTTTTACAGGGGGAACAACACAATACAGGACACACAATTGTAAGATTATTTATAATGGTCTCCCAAAGAAACATATACAAAAAGAGAGCACAGGAAATCTGCCCACACACTAAAGGCCAGAGAACCCAGCTGAGGGCCTGGACTCCATGACAATATCCTGCATGAGTCCAGCTGAAGACCTGGAGTTCATAACAATGCCTCCCACAAGTCCCATTGGAGGCCTAGAGCTCAGGACAAAGTCTCATGCAGGCCAGTTTCACGGATCTGCACTGGGAAGGAAGGCCCACAGGTCAGTGGCGGAAGCTAGAAGGTCTGCCCCAGCGGGATGAAGGATCTGGGCCAGCAGGCTGAGGGGTCTGCGCTGGGGCCGGGAAGCAACGCTCAAAGTAAGGACCAGAGCTCCCCTGAAGAGCACCACAGCTGTCCTCAGCAACCATGAGGTCCAGAGCTCCTCTGAGGGTGAGGAAAGCCATGCTCCCGTCAGGAAAGCCAACACAAGAAGTTCTCCAGGAGACCAAGCTGTGCGCCATCCTCCCTTCTGGAGCCAGGAAGCAATGCTCAAAGTGAGGACCAGAGCTCCCCAAAACGACCCGCAGCCATTCTCAGCACCAACAAAGTCCTAAGCTCTTCCTCTGATGAAAACAGCCAGGAAAGCAGCATGACAAGGTCCTCCAGCAGGCTCGCCAGTGGCTCCTTACAGCTTCTGACAGCCCCCAGCAGCTTCTTCAGTTTTCCTAACAGCCTCCCGTTAGCTGCTGATAGTTTTTATTTTTTTTAATTATTTTTTTAACATTTATTTATTTATTTTGTGGGGGGGGGGTCGGCTCAGCCCACCAGGGGGCGGGGTTGGCTGGCATGTGGTGCTGGGGGATTGAACTGGGTCCCTATGCTTTGCTTAGCTTAGCTTGTTCTAAGTAGGTGCTTTAGACCACTGAGGCATCTCACCAGCCCCTGCTGATAGTTTTTAAATGATGCCAAGAGAGACTACATTCTGGCCATGGTGAGGACAGAGGGGGCAGGGAAGGCTGCCTGACACAGACCTTGTGTGCAGGGGTCACCCGCTAGCCTGCCAGAGCTTCCCTGGGAGATTCTGTCTGAGAGGTATTGGACAGCTGACCAAATATCACAGTGCTGGGAGTGACTTAATTCTATTTCTGTACAATAAGCAACAAGTTCTCCCTCTTTCTCTCTTTGTCTCTTTCACACACACACACTGTGAAGTGAAAGATTCGCTAGCAAGCAAAATAATGTATGATTCACACAGAAAAATACATGCGAGTTTCAGGAAAACAGCACAACAGCATCATCGCTGAGGCATCATGGGAAGTTAGAGCGTCATCAAAGTTGTGACAAAACAGGACACATGCCACATGGACAAGGGATGAAGGCTAAAGTGAAGAAAGGGAGGCTGAAGCAGCAGACATCCGTGAGCACGACTGAGCAGCTCAGCACTGCCGAGGCACTAGTGAGCTAGTGGCCCTCAGGACCCGACCCGGGGAAGCAGGCAGGGAGCGGGGCGGAGGATCTGACAGCCGCGCTCGCTCGGGCACTTGGACTTTACTGTCCATTATGCGGACCTCTTCAAACGCCAAAGGGACAAGGTCAGACTTTCCTTGAAAGGAAAGACCATATGGCCTCTGACGGTGCTGTGGGGAGTAGGGGACACAGCAGGGCAGCCAGACAGCTCCCGCGCATCTCTGTCTGCAAGGGCGCCAGAGCCCCGCTGGCTGTGCCACGGAACTGACAAAGTCACATTTACGGGACAGCCCGTCTCAAGGCACTGCGCTCAGCAGGCTGAGCCCTGGGTCAGCGCAGTGAGGGGGCAGGCCCAGCCGCAGGGGCAGATGCAGGGCCAGCTGCCCACACTAACTGCTGGGGGCGGGGGGCGACCAAAACGCGGGGCGGGTGTCCACACTGAGAGCGGTTCGCAGGGAAGCCCCTGCGCGGACCTCGCGGAGGGCTCAGGCTCGTGCTTAGGCAGTTCGGTTGAGGTAGAGCTCCAGGATAAGGAATCATGTCTACCTATTACATTTAAAACCATTTAGTTTCTCAAGGGAAAAAAAGTCCCAGTGATAACTGGCCCAGGCTGCAAGCTCTCTTTTCCAGAGACAGTGCAAGCAGATGCAGGACGAGCGTGGAGACAGGGAGGAGAAGGTGTGGGCAGCGCTGTGTGCAGACCGAAGCACGGCGCACAGGAAGGGGAGCAGGGCACCAGCCACAGCGACCAGAGAAGGCAGGACAAGAGCGTCATCCTCAGGGGACTGTGTGGGCGCTGGCTGGCAGCCACACTGGCGAGGGGTCGCCCTCCACTTTCCAGTGTCAGCTCAAAGCGAAGGGTGTGCGGTAGTGTGCGTGTTGGTTTCCTGTTTCCCTTGCGGAGCCACAAGACTCGGGAGGACAAGGAGCCGTCTCTGCCCAGGACCGCTCTCCGTCCAGGTTATAGGGGATGTGTCACAGATTAGAAAGAAAGCAAGTGAACAGATAAGTAAGGTGCGTGAGAATGACAAGGCCCTGGGGGAAGCGGGAAATGGGGTCAGAGAAGGGCCCAGTCGCGTGCGATTCCCCTGGTCAGCTCAGGCACTGAGCAGCCGCCGGCCACGCCCACACACCTCCTCTCTCTAAGCTGCTTCTGGTTCTCCACCGGAGGGTTGAGGTCTCTGCAGGAAGCGGCGAGACGGCTAATGCTCAGCAGCAGGCGGCGCTGGGCCCTCAAAGCCCCTTCTGTTCCTCCTTCCCGAGCCTGGGGGTGGAACAAGATTCCCAGAGCCTAACTCCCTGCCAAGGGGGATTTAGAAGGCCTACAAAAGCCCCTGGGGAGGACCCGCTTCCGCATCCCGCAGCTGCTGCCAGGACTCTTGCTCCTCCGCTAGGAAAATGTCTATCCAGTAAGTAGCTCTGGGAGGTGTGTAAAGGGACATCAGGGTGGCTTTGGGTGGGAATTAAGTGCTCCTGGACAGAAGGCATTGGCTGGCGGGCCGTTCGTGGAAACCCTTGGGTCTGCAGGGAGGAGTCCTCTCCATGTTCAGGTCAATGTGTAGAATTTGGGGGTAAATGGTGGTCAAGCTGTGCAACGCAGACCAGGATGTGGGAACAGTTCTGAGCTCCAGGCTTACTTGTTTGTTTGCTTTATTAATTTTATTGAGAAACAAATAGCAATGAGAGAGTTTCAAAACTGATTAGTAGGACAGTTACAATAATTAATAAATTGCATATTGTTGTCTTCGTAGTGGCTATCCATAGCACAAGAAGCAGACAGGATATCCTGTCCAGACACTATTAGTACACATCTTTCTTCTCATTGAATTAAGAGAAAGTAGCTGTATATCTATCCTATTTTGTATATACAGATGCAAAATGGTCTATCTCTGACAAAACTAAATAAAAAAGGGGATGAAAATGAAGGACTGGGGCCGGGGAGATGGCTCAGTAGGATAAGCGCTTGACTGGCAAATGCAAGGATCTGAGTTCAATCCTCAGTTCCGCAAAAAAAAAAAAAAAAAAAAAAGAAGGACTATTTTGCATCTCAGGCAGTCTTGGGCTCACTGCTTGCTTGGTCATTTCCTAGCCATGTGACAACGGGACTTCCACGCATACAATGGGGATGACCCTAGCACTCAACAGGGCACTGCTAGGAGATCTGAATCAGCTAACATCACACAGTGTTTTATAGTATGTGGAACACGAGGGCTTAATAAAAGTAATTATAATTAGGAAGTGTGGTCAGAGCTCCCACTCTAAGATGTCATAAAATGGAAGAAACAAGCAAAAACTAGCATCAGTCACTCCTCTAATTACAGCACTTCTGAGACTGAGGCAGGAGGATTGCCAGAAGTACATGCCAGGAGTAGCTCAAAGCCAGCCTGAACCACACAGACCCTATCTCCAAACTAAATAGATAGATAGATAGATAGATAGATAGATAGATAGATAGATAGATAGATAATAGAAAGACAGAAAAAAAGAAGATGCAAGAAAATTATGTAGAACTTGAAATCTTTCACCTATTTTTTTAAAAAAGCACTGTAGTTCTTGGGGGTTAGTACAGAAATGGGGTGATGGGGAGACAAGAAACAATTGGGAATGAGGTACCCACACCTACATGCTGTTGTCTCCCAGTGTGTAGGAGCCAGGTCTCCTCATGAGGTGGTCAGGCAATGTGTGTCCATCGGGCAGGGCAATTTTTGCCCAGCGCCTTGTGTGGGATCAGAGTTTAGGAGGAGCAGCGACAGCAGCAGCCTTGCCTGAACTGTCTCCAGAAATGAGGAGAAATCGCAGAGGGCAGGAGTAAGTCTGCCATGAGCCCAGGTGTGTGGAGGGACCACAACCCGCGACGCAAGGGCACAGAGCAGGCGCCTGTTTCTGCACCACACACCCCAGCGCTTTCAGGCTAACACCTGACTGGTAGTGGCACTTGTGGCAGAGCCCCGGTCACCTTCCATCCAGGACAGCAGCCTCTTTTGAGAATCAGCATGGCCTTCCTTCCGCTCCTTACCCCATTTCAGAGTTGAACACCCTGCCAGTGGATACAAGAAACTGTTCGAAACTGTGGAGGAGCTGTCCTCGCCACTCACGGCACATGTTACAGGTTGGTGTCGCACCCCCGGAAGCTGCGCCATCTTCTTTTCTGTGGAGTCTCTGTCTCTTTGGCATCTCTCAGTGTCGCTCGGGGCTCCAGAGGACAGAATCTGGAGGTTCAAGGTTTTTCTATGAGGGATCATGCCTTTACATCTACCTTCACTTCTGGGGTGCAGAGAAACGCCACCCAGCAGCGCTGCTCAGGCACAGGACTCCACGTCTCTGTCATCTCCAAAACCACAGCGCCCGGCTCAGAGCATGACCCACAGTAAATGTTCTATAAATGTCTCCCCCCAGGCCCTCATAGTGACAGCCTGGTGACGAGCATGTGGGAACACTCCATTAAAGGGTACTGGGTTTCATGCCCATCAGCCTGGTTCTGTAGTCAGGTAGATGTGGGCGTAGTCCTAGTTCTTTTATTACACCATCTGTGAATTCTATAAATTCCTTAAACTCTCTGAACCTCAAAACCCTAACCCCCCTCAAACAAAGTTGACTTCATGGAGATGTTGTGAAGATTGAACCAAGCAATAGAAACAGAAAGACTCACCCTACACTGCAGCACATGAGGGAAATCAGTGGACAGCGGCTACTGCTACCGAGCTACCCTGGCCCAGCACGCCATCCCCCACCAGGCCCCTCACTGGGGCTAACAGGGAGCCAGAGCCAGGCAGCTCTCTTGCCTCCACCCGCTTCCTGTTTTGCACGATAGAAAGTAGGAGGCAAATGTTTTCTCAACTATTCTCACCGAGATTCTCACCTATTAGATTCTGATGCTAGCAATCTAGTTAAGCAATCTAGTTCATCTGATGCTAGTTAATCTAGCTACCAATCAAAATTTAATACACTGCGCTTTTAATTAAGCCACGCCATCTGAGCCCAGGCGGAGCAGATTCCGGGTCTTAACACCCAGCCCCGCCTAGCACCTCCTGCTGCTGGCCTTCCTCTGCACAGCGATTCATACCCTGGGAGAGTGAGGTTCTAAGCTGTAGTGAGGTGATATTCCTGGGTTTACTTATTTAATGATTTCTTCTCTAGATGCATCTTTATAAAATTCTTTTATCTCTGTTCCTAATCTATCCTCTACTCTTCAACCTACCGAAATACTTTGAACTTTATTTTTCTGTATTTAGGACAGGGTCTACAGGGTCTTACTACACAGATCGGACTCACGGTGATTCCCCTGTTTTCAGCCTCCCAAGGGCTGGAATTACAGGTGTGCGCCACCATGCCCAGTCTCAATCGCCATCTCAGCACACCGCGGGGGCGGGGCTAGCATGACACGCCAGGGATTGAACCCTGGCTGCTGCGCTCTACCTAAGCAGGCACTTTAGTCCGCTGAGCTATCAGGCCAGCCCTTCAAACATTTTTAAATTCCTTTTTTAAAAGAGAGTTGGCAAGAGGGCATCTGAGGAAGGCTGTTAGGTGTAGAATCCCATTCAGCTCAAGGTGCTTTGCTCGCGCTCCTTCCAGCCTGTTATCCAAGCTCTAGAGCATCGCCACACCTCCCAACGTGGGTCTCCTACTGACAGGAGACTCAAGGCAGCAGGTGCCTTTGAGCCACTGCAGCCGTGTGCAGCAGAGGCTGCCTGGGCCGCTGCTGGTCCAGTTCACAAGCAGGGAGTCCAGTCGTGGAGCAGGGACATGAAACAGGGTCATGTGTGCCACTTCCTCTCAGGCAGGGTTCCCCTCTGGCTCACCGGCAGTCTCCTCCGCTGTGGACCGGGACTCTTCGAGGTAGGATCTGAGCCTTTCTACCATCTGTTTGACGGGCAAGCTCTCCTGCACAAGTTTGACTTCAAAGAAGGACACGTCACATACTACAGGAGGTAAGAGAGCACATGGTCCACCCCCCTGCAGGATGAGGCCCAGCTCGGCTCCCCCTCTCCTTGCATTTTAACCTCCAGAGCTCTGGACAAAACCCCTAAACCCACTTGTCTCTCACAGTCTACTTGGACCATGTATCTAATAAGCACCTGAGAGACCAGTGAGTTAATGAAGGCCCTAACAACCA